ATTTTTACTTTATTTTACTTTATTACTATTCGCACCTTTATGTCGAAGCAAATTCCTAGTTTGTGAACCTCGTTCACTGACATGGCAATAATAAACTGATTCTGATTCACCCTGATTCCCTGAAGACTCTGGATGTTGTGGGGCTGTCTTGGTTGACATGCCTTTGCAACATTGCGTGGACATCGGGGGCAGTGCCACTGGATTGACAGACTGGGGTGGTGGTTCCTCTCTTCAAAAAGGGGACTGGAGGGTGTGCTCCAATTATAGGGGCATCAATGTCCTTAGCCTCCCTGGTAAGGTCTATTCAGGGGTAAATGGTAAATGGACTGTACTTATAAAGAGTTTACTTTGAATGGAGGCCAGATTTTATCTGTAGTGTGCTGTTATCGTCCTCCCTCAGCAACACCTGAGGCTCTGTCCTACCTGATGGAATTCCTTGGTAATTTAAAATTCAAAGAGATTTTTTTTCAGGAGATTTCAACATTGACTGGGATAAGTCGACCCCCGTGATAAATTCAAGGAATGTTGCCTGTCTCAATCTAAACCAACTGATCAAATCTCCAACTAGACTAAACAAAAACCGTCCTTAAAAGTCCTCCATCTTAGACCTGTTTCTAACTAATATGCCTCACAAATTCCCTAGTACAGGTGTGTTCGCTGACATTTTGAGTGATCATTGTGTGACAGCGACTCTGAGATATTAAACTTCAACCTTCTAAACCCAGATTAATTCAAAAAAATGGATCTGAAACGTTTTTGTGAAAAGTCATTCCTCTGGAATCTGTCTCACTTTGACTGGCATCGTATTCTATTAACTGATGACGTGAACTCCGCTTGGAACTATTTTCATAATAGTTTCATTTATTTTGTGAACAAACATGCTCCTTTTCGTCAGTTCAGAATAAAGGGACGAGACAGCCCCTGGTTTACTCCAGAGCTAGCTGACCTCCTGCACAGGAGAGATCATCTTTGGGCCACAGTGAGAAAATCTGACTCAGACACTGATTGGTTGAGTTTTCAACAGATGAGGAATAAATGCACAACTGCTGTTAAAGCAGCAAAACGCAACCATTTCTTATCTCAGACCTCCAAAAATCTAAATGACCCCAACAGATTCTGGAAAACCATCAAATCTCTCTCAGGCACCCCCCAATCATCTGACCTCCCATCACAACTTCTCGTTAACTCTGTTCCTGTGTCAAATAAGCACGAGATCCTGAACTGTTTCAACAAACATTTTGTTGCTTCTGGTTCTTTATTTGACACAGTTACTAATGGAAGATCAGCCACTTCACTTAATAACCAAACTTCTACAAATCAAATCCCTCCTACAAGTCAATCCTCAGTTAATCACACCTTCTCTTTTTCTCCATTCTCAGTCAGTGAGGTCAATAAACTGTTAAAAGATCTTGACCCTAAAAAATCTGCAGGTCCAGATGAACTTCCACCTTATTTCTTAAGGCTGGCTGCTCATATCATCACAGTCCCTGTGACCCACATCTTCAATCTCTCCATAAGACAAAACTCCATCCAGACACTTGAAAACAGCCTTTGTTCTTCCTTTGCTGAAGGGAGGTGACCCCCCCTCACTGAACAACTATGGACCAATCTCTAAACTCTGCATTTTAGCCAAGGTTCTAAAAAAACTGATAAACTCTCAAATCAAAAATGACCTGGACTCATTTAACATCTTACCTCCACATCAATCTGGTTTCAGGAAACAACACAGCACAACCACTGCTTCACTGAAGGTTCTTAATGACGTTGTTGAAGCACTGGATGCTAAGGACCTGAGGCAACCTGAGGCAACGTGTTCAACATAATGGTACTTCCTCCAGTTATTTTAACAGCCAACAATGGTGTACCACAAGGCTCAGTCTTAGGACCCACCCTCTTTACAATCTACATACATAACGTAGGTAAAAACATCCCTAATGCATCCATACATTTCTATGCTGATGACACAGTTGTTTATTGTCGAGCTAAAACAGTTGATAAGGCTTTCCAGCTTTTGAAATCTGAATTCAACATCATCCAGACAGATTTGTTCCACCTCAAACTTGTCCTAAATGCCGACAAAACCAAAGGGATGCTTTTTTCAAACAGGAAGTCAGTCCCAGCAGTTCTTCCTCTGATTTTATCCTCAAATGGTGTCCCCATTGAGTTTGTTGATTCCTATAATTATTTGGGTATCTTGGTCGAAACTCATCTCTCTTTTAAGCTCCATGTGGAAAACTTGGTAAAGAAACTGAAAGTTAAACTGGGTTTCTTTTTCAGAAACAGATCCTGTCTAACCCTGAACCCTGAGGAACACCTTGTATCTGTGACTTTCCTTCCCTCCATTGATTACGATGACATTATTTACATGAACGCTCCTACAAGAACCCTGCAGATGTTGGATGCTGCAGATGTTGGATGCTGTCTATCATGGTGCACTAAGATTCATAACTGGCTGTGATTATCGTACCCACCACTGCACCCAGTATTCACTGGTTAACTGGTCACCAGTAACTTCACACAGACTCTCCCACTGGTACATCTTCATCTTTAAATCACTTCTTGGTCTGCTGCCTTCATACATCTCCTCCTACATGTCTCTGTGTGAGTGCAGCTACAGCGTGCGCTCTCAGGACATCATTACCTGCAGTGTTCCCTCAGTGAGGACTGAACTAGACAAAAGGACCTTCTCCTACTCCGCTCCTGTTTCCTGGAATATCTTGTAAAAAGATCTGAAGCTCTCGACCTTTGACCTCTCTAAGTGTCTTTAAGAATCTGTTGGACTCCTGGCAGGGACCGATGCAGACATGTTCCTGTTTTTAGTTTTATACATTCGCCTTAGAGTCTAGCTGTTTTTGGTTACTTTTCTTTTCTTTTTACTTATCCTTTTTTTTTTTAGCCATCCTATTTGTTAAAAAAACAAAAAACAAAACTTGTATTACTTTTTATATTTGTCTATTGTTGTTGCTGTTGTCCATTGTTGTCATCATTCTTTGTTGAAATCAGGTCTCTCTTGTAAATGAGTCCTCGAGGCTCAATTGGATTTACCTGTCTAAATAAAGGTTGAAAGAATGAATGAATTCTATCTTATCAAGACACTCAAAGCACTTTACACAACAATCTGTCTCTTCATTTACTCATTCATGCAGCACTCTACTAGGGCTCTACAAAGCTAATTGAACAAATCATTATAAAAAGACTAATCAGTGCTTAATCATGTTTATACACTGATGGGACACACATCGGAGGCAATGAGGGGTTCAGTGTCTTGTCCTGAGACACTTCGACATGTGACTGCTGGTGGATTCGAACCCCCAACTCTTGCATTGGAGGACGACTGCTCTAACCACTTAGCCACAGCTGCCCAGAGAGAGAACATCCAAGGTTTTCCCCGTGGAGCCAAACAGGTCTGTAGAGTTCGGTCCGTGCAGGCAGATGGAGGATCATAGAGACAGCTGCCATGACAGGCCAGAGCCTAGGCCCGAGGCTGGAGCGGGGCCTGGAACTGAACCACGATGGCATGATGGCAAGGCAGCGACACACAAAACTCTATAAGTGTGTTGTGGTCATACCCATACCATGGGTATGCATTGTAGGCGCAAAACAGTTAAAATAAAAACAACAAGAATAAAAGAAGGTCGAGTCAAAGCGGAGCTCCCGTCAGTGCTACCATTCTGCGGTGCAAGTGACATCATATATAGTTTGGGTTGGTGGAATCTGGTTGTCTACAAATTCGTGTGGAGGTGTTGAAGCTTGACAGTGCTTGGACTGAATGTGGAGCTGTGACAGGGAGTTGGAGCAGCTGTTATCAGGACTGTGTTCTCCCTGGCAGCACTCATGAATGGTGGAATAATCTGGAGAAGCTGTGAGCTCGACTTTGGAGTAAAGGATCAATTTGGCTGTTTTGGAGTTTCCATCAGAGAATATGTACCAGCGAGACTTTAAAGGCAGAAACAACAATTCACGAGTTCTGCCTGACCCAAACTGTGGCCTTGATGCCGGACTTATCTCAACTCCTCCTGGAATGTTCAGGAAACAACAAAGATGCTTTGACTGTTTCCTCACCCCTCCCTTCCCCAAGGCCGTGGACATGTAACAGAACCTCAACTGAGCTGAAGATGAACGTCACCTCTTATCTGGACAATGGCTGAGGGGGGCTCTGGACTATGCTACGACTTTCCCTTAAAGATTCTCTGTCTTCACGGCCTGTATGTTCATGTATAACGTCTGTTTATGTTGCTTTGCTGTGGAGGTTTGTTTGATGCCTCAAATCGTGCCCTGTCTAGGACACGGAGTGACAGATCTTTCTTTTATACCGTCTCTCCTCATGTTTTCTTTCCTTTTCTCATCTAAGCAAAATATTATTCTGAATAAGAATAAGAGGCCGCGCTGATTATTTTAGCCGCAGCTTCGTGCACTCCGCCCATCTTCGGACGACTGTACGTACATATTCGCGTTGTATATCGGTGCAATGCCAATAAAGTTTATTCTGATTCTGAACTGTCGGCGGACGCGCACAGCTGAGTAAAGGGGGCAGAAGATCGGAGCTGATGGGGTGTTTGTACTTTCATGGCTGTCAAAGCACATTAAATGCTTCCTCAGCTTCTGCCTGCATTGACCCTGCTCTGACATGTTGGATATTTTGTGATCTCACCCGTTTGGATCATCGGCCACGTGCGTCTGCTGAGTGCAGCGGCTGAATGAACGTCCATTTGAGCGATTGATCTTTGGCAGTAGTCCATCTGAAGCTTAAATGAACTTTTTACCTCTTTCAAGGCCGGTCAGCGCGCAGTCAAATGGCCGCCTGCGGCTGGTGATTGTATGGCAGGCCAAGTTGCCATACAATTGGATCATCAGCTGTGCGCATCTGCTGAAGCAATCAAAAGCCTGATACCGACCCGGTCCCCACATTAAGCACATTCTTATGGACAGGCCTAGCCCTAATCTGTGCGGGGCTGGGCTCCGGGTTCGGGTTAGAAATGACAGCTCTAGTTAGGACTTACATGGACAGTCTGCGGCAGGTTTTTTATCGACAGGTAAAGCCAGATGCTGAGCTTCAGAGGGAGGATGTCCTGCCAGTGAGGTCGCTCCTGGGTTCTGAAATAAAAACGAACAATTACAAACAAGCAGTGCAGTAACCAGGAAGTCCAGCAGTGATTCTGTCCAAGGCTCACCTGTCGCTGCGATCAGAACTGGTCCACTTGAGTTCTTCTGCAGGTCTGGTGCTCAGCTTCTTCTTTTTCTCTTTTTTCTTCTTACTCAGCAGCTCATCCTGGAGACATGGAGCTCAGGTCACATGAACCATAATATGATTGGCTGGCTAAGCCTTTGTGCTCTGATAGGTTGCCTCACCAGCTGCTTCTCCAGGTAGATGGACCAGATGACTGCATAGTGTCCCACAGTGAGGATGAGGAAGAGAAGAATGCCCAGCTCAGCATTGCTCATCTTCCTCACTCTTCTGTAGTAAAAGACTGGCTGCCGCCAATCAGGAAGTCCGTTCTCCAGGATGTCATCGTACCTGCAACCACGCAACTGTTCAGCTCCACGACTAACCGTGATTAGCTTTTAGGAACACTTTTGACATTCATTGGTTGATGGGAACGCTCTGAGCTTTGATTGACTGATGGGCAGGCATTGATGAGCAGACATCATCTTTTTTAGATTTGTCTTTACACGTGACCAGATTTGAGGTCAACTTAAAACTTAAATTTTCCCTTCACTTTTAAACTGTTGACATGAATGACCCAACAGCTCTGACAGAGAATAAGTCAGTGAAAGAATAAATAAGTTCTTCTACAAGAACCCGGATAACTGGATGTGAGTTCCTGTCAGAACCTTTTCTGTTTTAGTTTCTGGAGTGGAGAAGCTTCAATTAAAAAAACGAATGCTGCTGAAGGGTTAGAGGTCACAGGAGCCTTTCTATTATTAACATGTGTCCTTTACCTCCTCCGTCTCTGTTCATCCTTCAGAACTTCATAAATGGCCACCAGCTGAAAACAAACAAACAGAATGTCAGCAGCTGATTGCTCATCTTTGTTGTTTACTCACTTTTGTTGTTGTTTATTCATATTTTCTGTTGTTTTCCCATGTTTGTTGTTCTTGTGGTTGTTTGCTCAGTTTGTTGAGATTGTTTGCTATGCTTTTCATTCATTCAACCTTTACTTCTACAGGTTAGTCCCATTGAGCCTGGAGGACTCATGCACAAGAGAGACCTGATTTCAACAAAGAGTGATGACAACAATGGACAATCATAAAAGATGCGTACAAATTGAGAACAAGTGAAAATAAAATGGTATTTAAAAAAAATAACCAAAAACAGCTAAATTATAAGGTGATGTAGAAACTAAAAACAGGAACATGTCTGCGTTGGTTCTTGCAGGAACTTATCAGATTCTTAAAGCCACTTAGAGAGGTCAAAGGTCGAGAGCTTCAGATCTTTTTACAAGATGTTCCAGGAAACAGGAGCGGAGTAGGAGAAGGTCCTTTTGTCTAGTTCAGTCCTCACTGAGGGAACACTGCAGGTAATGATGTTTGCTATGTTATTATAGTTGTTCATATTGTTTGCTCTTATCGTTTGAAATGTTAGTCGTTAGCGAAGCTGCTTGTTTGCCAATTTTCTTGTTTTAGTGTGTAAAGTTTCTTGTTTTTATCAGCTTGTTGTTGTTTTGCTAAGTTTTCTCCTTTTATCAAAGTTTTTGTTTTCTTGTTTGCAGTTTGTTGTTGTCTGAGAATTTAAGTTATTCTTGTTAGCGAAATGTTTATTCGAAAATTATTGTTGTTTGTGAAGTTGGTTTTTTATCAGTTTGTTTGCAAAGTTTGTTGTTTTTGTTACTGAAAATTATTGTCTATTGTTTGTTCCACCTCAAACTTGTCCTAAATGCCGACAAAACCAAAGGGATGCTTTTTTCAAATAGGAAGTTGGTCCCAGAAGTTCTTCCTCCGATTTTATCCTCAAATGGTGTCCCCATTGAGTTTGTTGATTCCTATAAATATTTGGGTATCTTGGTCGACTCACATCTCTCTTTTAAGCTCCATGTGGAAAACTTGGTAAAGAAACTGAAAGTTAAACTGGGTTTCTTTTTCAGAAACAGATCCTGTCTAACTCTGAACCCTGAGGAACTCCTTGTATCTGTGACTTTCCTTCCCTCCATTGATCACGTTGACATTATTTACATGAACGCTCCTACAAGAACCCTGCAGATGTTGGATGCTGCAGATGTTGGATGCTGCAGATGTTGGATGCTGTCTATCATGGTGTACTAAGATTCATAACTGGCTGTAACTATCGTACCCACCACTGCACCCAGTATTCACTGGTTAACTGGTCACCATTAACTCCACACAGACTCTCCCACTGGTACATTTTCATCTTTAAATCACTTCTTGGTCTGCTGCCTTCATACATCTCCTCCTACATGTCTCTGTGTGAGTGCAGCTACAGCGTGCGCTCTCAGGACATCATTACCTGCAGTGTTCCCTCAGTGAGGACTGAACTAGACAAAAGGACCTTCTCCTACTCCGCTCCTGTTTCCTGGAATATCTTGTAAAAAGACCTGAAGCTCTCGACCTTTGACCTCTCTAAGTGGCTTTAAGAACCTGTTGGACTCCTGGCAGGGACCAACACAGACATGTTCCTGTTTTTAGTTTTCTATATTCGCCTTAGAATCTAGCTGTTTTTTGTTCCTCTTTTTGCCATATTATTTGAAAAAAATAAAAATAAATCTGTATGCCTTTTTATAACTGTTTATTGTTGTTGCTGTTGTCCATTGTTGTCATCATCCTTTGTTGAAATCAGGTCTCTCTTGTAAATGAGTCCCAGAGGCTCAATGGGATTTACCTGTAGAAATAAAGGCTGAATGAATGAATGAAAGTTTGCTAGGTTTGTTGATGCTTGTGAAGTTTGTTGTTGTTTGCGCATGTTTGATTTTGTTTGCCAAGTTTTGGTTGTTTGTCATCTTGTTTGCAATGTTTGTTGGTACTGTTTGTTCTCTTTGTTTACCATGTTAATTGTTGTTTTTTTGCTCCGTTTGTAGTTGTTTGCTCTTGTTTGGTATTTGCCAGTTTTGTTGTGCTATGTTTGTTGATATTGTTTGCTCTTGTTTCTAAGTTTGGTTGTTTTTTATTGTTTGCTTTTTAAAAAACGTTTGTAAAGGTTATTTTTGTTTTTTGCCTTTTGTTGTTGTTAGCAAAGTTTGTTGTTGTTTGCACTTGTTTATTGTTTGCCAAGTTTCTTTCATTTCATTTCTTTACGTATTTATTTATTTAAATTAGGACAATGCATATTATTCAATATGCTAGCAATGAACAACAATGTAAATATGCCGGGAGTTAACACAACAGCTAATTTTCATCTATTATCCTAAGTTCTTCTTGTTGTTTACTCATGTTTGATGTTGTCGTTTGCTAAGTTTGTTGTTGTTTACCAAGCTTATTGTTGTTGTTAGCTCATATTTGATGTTGTTTGCTAAGTTAGTTGTGGTTGTTTTTCTGATATTGTTTGCCACGCTAAATGTTTTTGCCATGTTTACAGTTGTTTGCTTATTTGTTGTTTGCTATGTGGTATGTTTGTTGACATTGTTTGCTCTTGTTGTTTTCTAAATTTGTAGTTGCAAAGTTTTTTGTTGTTCATTGTTGTAGTTTATATTTGCTGTCATTTTTTTAAAAGTTGGTTGATGTTGTTTGCAAAGTGTATTGTCATTTTTGGTTTTTAAAGTTTGTTGTTGCTGTTTGGTAAGTTTGTTGTTTGCCAAGTTTGCTATTCTTTTCCAAGATTGTTGTTTTTGTAGTTTGCAATGTTTTTTTTTTTGCTCACGTTTGTTGTTGTTAGCTCTTTTTTGAAGTTTGCCAACATTCTTGTTGTCATTAGGTCATGTTTGAAGTTTATTGTTTGCAAAGTTCGTTGTCGTTTGAAGTTTGTTGTTGCTAGCAAATATTGTTGTTTGAGGAAAAAGTTGTTGCTTGCTAACTTTGTTTGCAAAGTTTGTTGTTGATATTAGAAAAGTTTGTTCTTGTTTGATATAGTTGTTTTCTCATGCTTGTTGTTGTATGCCATGTTTCTCGTTGTAGCATGCTCATGTTTTATGTTGTTGCTAGTTGTTTGCTAAGTTTGTTGTCAGTTGGTTGGTTTGTTGTGGTTGTTTGTGAAATTTGTGATTGTATACAAAGCTTGTAGTTTGCAAAGCTTTTTGTTCATGCTTGTTGTTCTTTGCCAAGCGTCTTCCTCTTGTTAGTTTGTGTTTGCTGTTGTTAGTTGTTGTTGTTTTATAAGTTTGTTGTGGTTAGTTGTTGTTTGTTAAGTTAGTTTTTATTTGTGAAGTTTCTTGTCGTTTGTGAAGTTAGTTGTTGTTTGTGAAGTTTGTTTCTATTTGTGAAGTTTGTTATTTTAAAAATTAATTGTTGTTTGTGAAATTATTTGTTGTTTGTGAAGTTTGTTGTTTTTTGAGAAGTTAGCTGTTTGTAAAATTTGTTGCTATTTGTGAGGTTAGTTGATAAAGTTAGATGTTGTTTGTGAAGTGCGTTGTTGTCTGTGAATTTTATTGTTGTTTGTGAAGTTGGTTGTTTTTTGTGAAGTTTGTTGTTAGTTGTAGTTTGTTTTTTGTGGTTAGTTGTTTATAAAGTTTTGTTGTTGTTTTTTGTTAAGTTTTGTTGTTAGTTGTGAAGTTTGTTGTTCTTTGTGAAGTTAGCTGTTGTTTGTAAAGTTTGTTCTTATGAAGTTTGTTGTTGTATTTTAGTTGTTCTTTGAGAAGTTAATTGTT